TAACCAGATTGCATAAAAAACCTTAGTGGTTTTATGCTTCATATTAACCAGATTGCATAAAAAACCTTAGTGGTTTTATGCCTCATACTAACCAGATTGCATAAAACACTTTAGTGGTTTTATGCCTCATACTAACCAGATTGCATAAAAAACCTTAGTGGCTTTATGCCTCATACTAACCAGCTGAGAGTCTGAAGCCATTCAATGGGACTGATAACGGCTAATAACATCCATTTAATGGATGATAACATCTGAAGCGGGTGCAACATCTAACTTTTCTTAGTCATTTTGTGGAAAAAAACTTTCATAAGTTGGCATTAGTTGTCTAAAACGTTATAGTGTGACAGGGCCTTAATCTAATAACACTTACAGTGACAGCTGGTAGGAACTGGGCTGCATTTTCAGTTTTTGAATTTTCACTGCAGGAAGTAAAAGTGTCCAGTCCAGACTACCCTGAGAAGCACAGAGAGAGGGTAATGGAGGACTTCTTGAAACGCATCGAGTGCTACATGGTCACTTATCAGCCGTTGGACCCCGATGACTACGACAAGTAAGCATTTGAGAAATCACAGCAAACACAGTTTTTCCTGGTCCTCCTTCACGTTGGCTTCCTGCCGTGTTACAGAAGTGAAACAGTAGATGGTGACAGTAAACCCGTTTCATTGGGCCCTGCAGGGACCTCTCTTTTATCAAGGTGATCAACGTGGGACAGCGTTTTCTGGTGAACCGGGTGCAGGACTACATTCAGAGCAAGATCGTGTACTACCTCATGAACATCCACGTGCACTCCCACTCCATCTACCTGTGTCGACACGGGGAGAGCAACCACAACGTCCAGGGACGCATCGGAGGAGACTCTGAGCTCTCTCCTCGGGGGAAACAGGTCTACGCCTTTTCTCTTGTCCGTCGTAATCGTCGTCTTAAGAACCGCAAAGCCAGAGTTTTCAGATGGGATGAAACGCGTCTGACTGTGATGTTATACACACCCAAGTCATGACCTTTATTTCATCAAATCCTCCCTTATTTGCAATTTACCAAAGAGGATTATCGTGAAGTAAAAATACCAATCATGATAAACCTTCCTCTGTTTCTCGTCAGTTCGCCCACGCTCTGCGGGATTTTATTGACGAGCACAGGCTGTCGGACCTGAAGGTGTGGACGAGCCAGCTGAGGAGGACCATCCAGACAGCTGAAGAACTCGGGGTGCCGTATGAGCAGTGGAAAATCCTCAATGAGATCGATGCTGTCAGTGAATAGAGCCACTTACCTTACTTGTTTAGTAATTAATGGTTTGATCCAATATATTTAGTAAATATCCTTCAATGACAGTTTTACTTTTGCCCTAACGTGATGGTAAACGTTTTCTCATTTACCAGGGTGTGTGTGAGGAGATGACCTATCAGATGATACAAGAGACTTTCCCAGAGGAGTTTGCTCTGAGAGACCAGGACAAATACCACTACCGTTACCCAGGAGGAGAGGTGACCAGGATCACTTCTTACAACTGCTAATATTCCAGAGTTTGTCTAGTTTTGTAATGGTTTTCATTAGTTCCTTTGGCAAGAAATTGCCTTGTGTTGTCCCATCAGTCCTACCAGGATCTTGTTCAGCGTTTAGAGCCGGTAATCATGGAGCTGGAGAGGCAGGGCAACGTGTTGGTTATCTGCCACCAGGCTGTGATGCGTTGCCTCCTGGCCTACTTCCTGGACAAGGGTGCAGGTCAGATRAACACACACACTAGGGTTGGGTAATATTGGCAAAACAAATCACGATTAATTGTGGTGTTTAGCCAATAACGATTAATATGACGATTAATCCCCTGGAGTCCCTGGACATGCCCCATGACCCATTTAAATCGCTCTACTGGGAAAGATTTGCTCTCTGTAAAAATCTGTTACAAACTGTATCAGAAGTACAGACTTCAGGCTATACATACATTTTTAAATTGTGTTAATAAACCAAGTAAAACCAGGGTTATGATAAATAAATTACAGCACTTTTTAGAAAAAAATTAACCATATTTGAAGCGGAGAGGAGCGGACTGATTTAACAGTCGATTAAAAAAATAAAACATAATCAATTCAAGTTTTTCTGATGATTAACTACACGATACGATTTCGCCCAACCCTGATTCTCACACACATCAGATCTCACAAGAAGCCAATCAAACCCACTGCTCTTCACTCCACAGAAGATCTTCCRTACATGAAATGTCCCCTGCACGCCGTGCTCAAGCTCACTCCTGTGGCGTACGGTAGGTCCTCAACCTGGAAATATGACTGTTACACACAAAAAAAATTAAAATTAATAAAACTGAATAAATTTTAAGTGTTTAATATTTTTAACTTCTAGGTTGTAAAGTGGAAATGTTTTACCTGAATGTGGAGGCCGTGAACACTCATCGAGATCGGCCACTTGTGAGTTGAAACCAAATGAACAAACATGTTGCTGCATTTATTTATTTATTTTCATTATAGTTAGAAATCTCAACACCCCGATTCAAAGTGTAGCAAAGTGTTTGTTAGATCGGCACATTTGCACTGCAGCTGCTTTGGGATCCCCTCTGTTTAAGGCTTTGCTTCCTTGATGCTTTTTTTTAAGCTGCTGTTTTGTCTGGCACCTTTTTATCTTTCACCTTCAAAAAAATCAGCTTGCCTTGAGCTGTGAGTTTGATAAATAAGACTGCATTTTAATGATATTGTACCTCAGTAGAGGCTGTGGCTGATCATATTCACTGATTTTGCAACCCTTTAAAGCCTAACCCTTTAAAAAACTGTCAGAAAATTCACAATTTTTTAGAACTGACATGTTTATTGGGCCTTTAAACAAAATCCAAAATTTTTTTTTGCCACATCACTTTGTTTATGATATATTTTTTTGTATCAAATCTGATACACTGGGCTGTTTTGGTAACATTTTTCTCACAGCAAAGTTAAATTAAGAAACAAAAGACAGTTTTGCCCATAACTTTTAACAAGTTTAGAACGCTCTAGGAAGTTTACTTCTTTGTTTTTCTTTTTTTTTTACAATGAAGTTTTTACAGCCATTTATTTCACTTGGTGGCAGGCACAAATACAGTTTCTGTCCTTGTTCAGGCACAGATGTACCTTACACTTTTTTAAAAATTGCCATCTGTTATCATATTGATGACATTTTCTTACTTTCTTTTTTTCCTCTCTTCTTCCTCACTTTTCTTTGACATCTAACACGTAAATAATTAGTCAGTACAGTGTAGAGATTATAATTTCAAAGGAAACCACTTTGAAAATAGCCTAAATATATTTTCAAATGGCATTTCAGTAATTAATCAATCATCCAAAATAGTGTGTGGTTGTATTGTGGCAAGAATACTGTTGATTAAATTACTAAAATGTCACATGACATTTCAAGACTGGAGCACCTTATATATCTGCAGTATCAAGTTTGATACACAAATTTTTAACGATTTAACTGTACTATTAAAAATATTTTTAAGTAATTATGCATTGTTTCAACACAGAAAGTATTTATTTAAAAATTACAAACAATATTGATGTTATTCTTACCATAACTTCTCCAAAATTAGCAAAAGTTTTCCTGGAAAAAAAGTGTGGATGACCTCATGTCAGCAGACATTATGAAAAGGCAAAAAAAGGAGTTCCACTTCCTGCAGTACATTAATGATCCACCAGAGGGCAGAATACAGGTCTCACATGATTTACAACAGGTTTTTGAGGAAAATATTGATCACATTGATAAAAATATAGGTCACAGAATCCTGCGTAGCAAATATGATACAAGTGGCGATATGGTTACATCTTGATTTTGAAATTTATTATAAATTCCTCGAGCTCTATGAGTTTTATAGAACGAGCCTTGTTGACGCAGAGGTTTTCGTCTGCTCCAGCTTATCTGTTCAGTCCTGTTTGTCCTGTGTGTGAGGGGGACCCCCTGAATGTTAACGTCTCTATTTCCTTTAACACTTGGCGTGTTTCGTCCTCCAACTAGGGGAACATTCCAAGGGGCTCGGCTCTCATACATCGCCGGAATAGTTACACCCCCTTGTCCAGTCACGACCAGGTCAAGCGGCCCAGGCTCTACAGCGCGGGCAACCAGCCGTGGCTACCGCTCGCCCCCACGCCATCGGCTCTGATGCCAGAGGGACTGCAAAGCCAAGTTAGTGACAGAGTTACAGGCTGACCCTCTAAATCTGTCACCTTCAGCTGTAACCAGTCACCTCTGTGTTTAACATTCCCCGGTCTCCGTTGTGGATCTTTTTGATGACTTCTTATACGTCTTGTGAAATTCATCCCCCCCCAAGTCTGCCTTTCTTTCTCAGGGCATGTTGTGCATCGTGAACTCTGTCCTTGTTTGTCTTGCATGGCCCTTGGCTCACGGACTCCCGGYGTCCAGACTGAATATGCAGAACTGCATGCTACCTCTTTGCTCATCCTGAAGTTAAACTTTACGGTTAGCGAACGACACGCTCGTACGACTGCAGTTTCTACACCATCATCAGAGAAAGAAAATGCTGATGTATCGAAAAGTGTGTCCATACGTGCTTGTTTTGTGTAATCAGTGGTCTTGCCTTGCGAGTACAGTGCTTCTGCTCTTCTCCACATTTCTATCTCTGTTTCTTTTCCCCGCTTTCTCCAAACCTGTTACAGACTCGGACAAGTAGCAGTTGTCTGTGAGTATTTTGGAGACTCAGTACTTGTTCCTAACTTTTCATTTTCCATTCTTTACCATCTTTCAACTCGTGGCACTAAAATCCATATCTCTATATGTGTTGTATAAATTCTTAATTTTTATGACTTTTTTTTCCCCTTTTTTATGATTTTCACTTGTCAGGTTTTTCTTCTGTTCCGTCACCTTTCCACAGTTAAATCTACTGTCTGCTTATTTTTGCATCAGCAGCCTTATCTGGAACACACTATCATTTATTGATGGTTTAATACTTTAATAAGAAGGTGTATGATGAAATCATTTCTTTACAGTTGTTTGATGTTATTACTTTTACTTTTTGATACATTTTGAAGTAAAATATTGCCAGAATATATGAATTTTTAAAAAAAAAATGCTATAGATTTTGAAGGTCTAGCTGTCTGTCAGTGCTCTCAAGTGATTTTTTATGTTTAAAAAGCACCCTTTGCCTTTTTTGAACCAGTTGAACCATTTGTCCTGAGTGATCTGAATGTATTAGGATAGGGCTAAACACAGGTGTGATTGTTAGTGAAAGGTCTGAGTGTGGCCACTGAGGAGGACTTAATCAGAATTAGTTATTCACTTATTTGGAACACGATATGGATAATTTGCTTGATGCACAATTGTTTAATTTTCTAAATTGCCTAGGGTTACCAGAGAAGCTATTAGTTGCCACAAATTGAATGAACTGCTGCAAGGAATTAATCTGTCCATGTTGGTCACATTTCCGCTTTTTTTTAAAGGAGTTCCTGTGTGAAGGAATCAACTTTGACAACGCCGAAGAAACTAGTGGTTGTGTCCGCTTCTGAGTGAGAGTCGGGTCCCTTTTTTTACTCCCACAGTTCTTCGTGACGCAGCGTGTGAAGATCCTTGGGTCTTTCACGAGTCACACACTGGGAGCACCTGTCTTAATTCTGTTAAGATTACAGGATTAGGTCACAGAACWGTTCCTGCTCACGATATGTGCAGGAACTGTGCAGCAACATGTTATCTTAAAATGTCTGTTTTTACTCTGGATGTTCAGGCTTTTGCAACCACTGCATGTGCACTTAAAAAAAACATATAGTAGATATGTTTACTCATTCTCACAGTAATTACAACAATGCCTTGCCTAACTTCCAATAAGTCTTRGCTTCTCAAAATGCCACAAAATGTAACAAGATCAACTTGTGCATTTTATCGTGTTTTCACTGCAAACTGAACATAGAGTACAAGATAAATGAATATTTTTATAAAACAAATCTACATATTTATTATAGAAATATTCTAAAAATGGGATCGCTGGTTATTGAGATTGTTTTGCATTTTATCTTGACAGAATCAAATCAAAATGACCTTTGTTTTTCCCAGTGTTTTTGGAGCACTTTTGGTTTATCAGCTGTTATAAAATATGTTGATCGAAGCTTTAAAAACCAGCAGCARGGAATGAAACGTATCAGTAAAAACGGTGGTAATTGTGGACGTAAAGGCAAAATCCAAAACATGCTTCTTTTTGTGAACAGATATGCAAAATGCTGACATGCTTGTGATTTGTGTGCATGTCACCACAGTTCATCAGTGTACTTTTTCTTTCATGAAAAAAGTGTTTTCAATTTAGTTTTTTAAAAAAATGTTTAGTTGTTGAGTTTATGTTTGAGTATTGATAAGTTATTGTCCAGCTCAAAGCAGCCTTTTGTGCCTTTTAAGCAGACAATAAAAGCTCATTTAAAAAAAACTYACATTTTCTTTATTTCTTGAAGCAGGAGATTTCTTTACCAAACATTAATTGTTCTTCATCAAGGTAAGATCGGACATTTAAATGTAAAGTCAAGGTGACATAAAAAAGAACAAAGAATAAAGAGTAAATCTTAGTWGTTAGAAATATGAGCAGTAGAATCATAATTGTGTATAATGAACACTTTGGGAAATCTRCCTTTCACTGTCACACAGATGAACATAACTCGATATTATTGTATAAATTATATTTGTGAAGTTTATTTTGTAACACGGCAGCGACATGAAGGCACGCATTACTAAATTATTTTATTTTCCCCCGTTTATGACACCCATTTACGCTAACAATCAGTAAACAAAACGACTGCMTTTAAAACTAGTATTTGGGAACTTGAACGTGCACGTGAACCATGAACGTCATGACGTCACGCGAACGTGTCCGTGTAAGTCCGCCCATCTCGTTGTTGTATGTTTATTGTTTGAGGGTTAGCAGGGCTACTGAAGACAGGTAAGAAAACAAGGGTTATTTATCTGTGTCTTGAATCTTAATGTGTTTTAAAACAGGTGAGTTGGCAACATACTTTTCTTAGAGACTCGACGGAAGCGGAGATCAGGGATTTAAACCGTCCAACTAAGGTTAAGGCGGCTACGTAAGAGGCTAACTTGCCTAGCTATGTATGCTAACGTTAGCATGCATAGTTATATTACTCAACTAAATAAACACGTGTGCCATTTTCATACATTAAGGTGATGTTTTGGTCTCACTCATWGATTAAACTCTGATAATCATCGCATTGAGTTTAGAATAAAACTAAAGTTGTTTATTGTTTGACGATGAGGTTTTTAGCTTAGCCTGTGGGCTGGCGGTGAATGAAGGTTCAATGTTAGCTGGAACAAAGAAACCAAAACAAAGCAGTTCAGCTGTCGGACTTTTGTTCTTCTGTTTGTCAGCGGTTCTGTTGTTATGCCATGGCCGAATSGTTTTTATCAAATAAACAGTTTGTACACTACTGAGCCCGTGCACAACTTCTAGCAATTAGGCAAAACATACCTGCTGCATTGTTTAGGTTTATCATCAACCAGAGTGTTGTATAAGWACCACAGTGATACTTGAGTAAAAGTACAAGTATCTTACCATAAAATTACKTTGGTAAAAGTTCAAGTCTCCTCTATGAGTATTACTTGAGTAAAAGTCTTAAAGTATCTAATATATTTTGTACTTAAGAATCAAAGTAAATTTCTGACATAAACATGTACTTAAGTATTAAAAGTATTGAGTAAAAATGTCATATAAAAATGTAAATGTTAAAAAATTCAGGATGCACTAGTCTACCTTTTCTGATTGCTTATCTATCTATCTATCTATCTATCTATCTATCTATCCCCATCCATCCATCTATCCCCATCCATCTATCCATCCATCTATCCATCTATCTATCTATCTATCCATCCATCTATCCATCCCCATCCATCTATCTATCCCCATCCATCTATCTATCTATCTATCTATCTATCTATCTATCTATCTATCTATCTATCTATCTATCCCCATCCATCCATCTATCCATCCATCTATCTATCTATCGATCCCCATCCATCCATCTATCCATCCATCTATCTATCGATCCCCATCCATCTATCTATCCATCTATCCCCATCCATCCATCTATCAATCTATCCATCCATCCATCCATCCACCCACCCACCCACACACCTCTCATCCAACCACAATTAAATTCACTTTATCCAGGTGGCACAATTTATCAGGATAATGTATTTTTAACAAGAAGCCATAATGAAATAGGAGGACTTTCTACTTGTAACCTTTTTTTAATGTAATGAGTAGGAAGTACAGATAATTGTGTAAAAACGTAAGGAGTAGAAGTCAAAAGTAGGCTGAAAAGTAATTACTCAAGTGAAGTACAGATAGCCAAAATTTCTACTTAAGTACAGTAGCAAAGTATTTTTATTTAGTTACTTTACAACTCTGCTAATCACAATAAGATACTCKGAAAAGAAAATGCTAGTAAATAAAATCATTGTTGAGCCAAGTTATTTAGAGAAATCCAGTCGGTTCCRGTTGTTCAGAAATCTGCTCACTTGGTTTGTCAGAATAAGTAAAATCATCCCAATGACTTAAGCTTGGTTCATAAATGTAACAGTGGTCACACTGGTGTTTTAAAGCATGTACTGTATAAGGTTTTGTGTTAAGATATCAATTGTTTGTAAATTTGATAATTATACTTTTTTAGGGTTTCCAGTCATACATTAAAAAAGTAGTGTTCTATTGTATTTATGAATACTGACATCGACTTGTTCCGTCTCTCGTCAACAAGTGTCATTGCAAAGTTCTCTCAAAACATTTAGTGAGTTCRAAATTGAACTTTAATTTGTTTTTGCAGGCAGGATGTTGCGGCTTCGCTGTAAGACCAAAAATGGGAGCCACGTAATGCAGGGCCTGACTCACCAGTCCTGTGTGCGGGAGCTGAAGAGCAAAGTGGAGGAGCTGACTGGGATCCCTTGTGATGTGCAGAAAATAATGATCGGTTACCCTCCATCCAGCCTTGAYCTTCGAAACGGAGAGGCTCACCTAAAAGACTACCCTATCAAATCAGGTGTGTTTTATTCCGATGTGTTAATAACAAAAGCCAAATACGCAACTTATTGTTTTGACCATTTTCTTATAATGAAATCAAATGTATCTGGGATGAACTTGGCAATTATTTGTTTTAAAATGGGSATCAAGTAGACACTTGACAAATAAGAGTAACAAAATAAACTASACATGGGTTTTTACGATGTAAAAACAAGTGTGCATTGCCACGTAGCATGTCATTGCAGCATGGCTTTGCCTGCAGCAYTGGACTTGCAGAATGAACTTTGACCAAGTTCAAATGTGTTTTCTATATCAACTTGTGCCTGTCACATCAGCATGTGTTCAGAATTAARGTAATTGTGCGACAATATGAAGTTTGAAGAGATTTYTTCTTAAAGTTGCATTAGCCGGGTTTTGAACCGTGATCTCCCACATGAAAGTCCATGACATAGACCATTAGACCAATGGAGCTGTGGCAGAATGTGGTGGCAGGGGTTGGTATGTATGTGTGCAGAAAGAGGCCACATTGCCAATACAATTATTGGCACTAAACTACATACTATTACAACAATAGAGCAGTATTAAGACAATATTATAGTAAAATATCAAAATGCAATCATATTAATATTGTAATCACTGAACTACTGATTTTAAATATTATGWAACTATGGTGCAGTACCATATTGTGTAGATGCAGCAGGGGGCAGTATTGGACCAATACAAGGCTCCATTGACTGCCATTATAATTTATTAAACAATATTTCAAAAACTATAAGTTTTACTGGCACCAAAAGGCATAGCCATCATTARGCACAGGAGCTTTACAGATATAAATTACAATGGCAGCTCTAGGACAAAGTTTGCAGGAGGAGAAGCATGGCAAAGTTGAGATGACTTGGATGGGAAACGAATCACAAGTGTGCATTGCATTGGCAATGCACACTGAATATTGTTTTAATCTGTTATTTGTTTAATATGCAATTTGCTGTATGAGCAAACGTTGCGTAGAATGAACAGTGTTGTGTTCCTGCTCTGTCATCCTATACAGGAGACACACTCATCGTGGAGGAGGAACAAAGCAAGCCAAAACCTCAGGACCATCCCGTTGTGAAAGCACCTCGCCTGGAAGCCTCGCCTGTGCTGGYGCGCCGTGTGGTCCCGGCCGACAACTCCTGCCTCTTTACCAGTATTTATTATGTGGTGGAAGGAGGCCTGTATGACCCCGCCTGTGCCTCTGARATGCGTGGCCTGATTGCCCAGATAGTCTCAAGTGACCCTGCAGCTTACTCCGAGGTAGTGCTGGGAAAAACCAATGAGGAGTACTGCTCCTGGATAAGACGTGAYGACACCTGGGGAGGAGCCATCGAGGTGTCCATACTGTCCAAGTTTTACCAGTGTGAGATCTGTGTGGTGGACACTCAGACAGTTCGAGTAGATCGATTTGGGGAGGACGCCGGTTACCACAAACGCGTGTTGCTCATCTAYGACGGCATCCACTACGACCCGCTGCAGAAAGAGACGCCCGGTTCCGACGCCCCRCCTCTGACTATCTTTTCCACCACCGACGACGTCATCTTGGCGCAGGCCCTCGAGTTGGCGGACGAGGCTCGCCGCAAGCGGCAGTTCACAGACGTTAACCGCTTCGCGCTGCGCTGCATGGTGTGCCAGACAGGCCTGGTGGGACAGAAGGAAGCCCGTGAGCATGCCAAGGTGACGGGCCACACCAATTTTGGCGAAGTGTGAAAGTTGAATCAATTTCCCCCTTTCATAAATGCAACCACCTCCGGCCCCCGTGCTTCATATCTGGCAGTTCTGTTGGTCGATTTGCTTACGTGATACTCTACCTCACATTACCCTGCGACATATTTGGAGAATCTGCAGACACTGTGTTCAGTCTCTAATCTGTTAAGTATTATTATTTTTAAACTGCTGAAAGCTCTTAAATTCAGAAACACTGTACACTACTCTGATGTTACTGATCCATCACCTTATTTTAGGGATGGTTTCAGATCTTTTCAGTGGGGTGAAGTTAAATATGCAAACAGTTCTTAGGATTTGTTTTGATCCATATAATAAATGTACCAAATGTGGCCTGTATGTAGGATTAAAAAAACACCAAATTGCCACTACCTAAACCATGACTAGCCAAACTTTAGTGCGCTAAATACCCACTATAAGGCTTCACAGAGAGTTTAAAACAACCACTAAGAATTATTTGCAATGAGATGGGATCCCATTCACTCTTGTCTTAATCACAGCAAGTACGACTGTTATACATGATGGTGTATTAGGGCCATTCAGGAGGGGAAAATGAGATAGGTTTTTTTTTTTTTTTGAATAGTTTGTTTTTGAGAATGTGTTGACATGAAAAATTCACAGTATTGGGGAGGAAAGGGAGTTGTGTTTTAAGACCCAGAGGAAATAAAATGTCCTGTATTTATTTACGCATTAATAGCCTATTATCATTTAAAGGTTGTGGGTACATTTTACTGGGTTGGCTACAATATAACATGCACTGTYTTAGTTCAAACTGTCCAAGGTGTGGCGTTACTTATTAGTTATTGCTCTGGCAGTGGAACTCTCAGAACCTGATTTAATCTTTTACAAATAAGAGATGACACATTGAACCAGTTCAGCTATTCATGCTGTTATGTAGTAAACCTATAACCACCACTCTAATAACACAGTTTAATTCCTCTGGATAGTGTTGAAACACAACTATTTTTTTCTCCAATATTGCAATTTTTCAGTTAATATTTACTAAACACTTTTTTTTTCCTTCCGAGTATGTCTAATAGACTGTTGTAGTTACTAGTGTTGGTTTTATTGCATGATCCCCCCTCCCATCTTTTTTTTTTTTTTTTGGAGAGGTTACAATTTCTTTTGCAAATTTATTTGGTTAGCTTCAATTCTGTAAACGTTGAGCACAAGTAGCCCAAGTTATCACTAAACCGGCGTTATCTAAATACAAATATGTAACGAGTGGTTATTAAGAGTTAATGTATTCTGAAGTACATTATCATACAGCAAAGTTTTTCCAAAAATTAGCCTGGTTGTTTTTTCTTTTCTATTTGATGTGGCGACATTTATTAGTGAGCTTGTTGTTGTGTTAGAATGTTTAAAAGGAACAACGGTGCTGTAAACACTTTTTTTCACATTTCTTGGACGGTACAACAAATTTCCAGGAGTGTCGTTTTGATTACAACATACAACTTTTAAATATTACCATACTGTAAGAACTTTTCTTTCGGTATTTTTAAATTGCTGCAACATTTTGGTAAAAAAAAAAAAATAAAGCATCAAGTGTAATAAAATGATCAAGTGCAAAAAATATATAATCAATTTGAAAATTGTAGTTGAAACCTGAAACAAATGTAAGGCACATTGTGAAAGGTCAGTTATCTTTTTATACATTTACTTTTCAGGTACAGTTTTTGTGCTCCTTAAAATCAGCATCAAATCGCATTTAGTTTTCTTTTTTAATCTTTTATAAATAATGGCACTGTTTTAACCCTTTAAGACTTGATGCACCATCTGACTTCACCTGTACCCAGGTTCGAAGGGCACTTAAGTTTCTTAATTAATTTGGTGCATGTACTGAAAAATGCCTCTGTTCTACTGTATGTTTGCACATTTGGAGCATGTTCTCACATTCTCAGCTAAAGTCAGGTGTTACCTCTTTGCACGCACCCAATGTGAAACATTGGGTCAGAAAAGGAACCAATCTTSAACATTGAGGTGCTTGTCGTTGCCAGTGTTGTATAAAAAAAAATTTAATTTGATGTGGACTTTGACAATATTGGTTTTGTGTTGTTGCCAAAGACAATGCGTTTAACAGCGAAACACCTATTTGAGACAATTATATTGATTGATAATGGTTAGTGTATGGTCAAATATGCTTTGTTTTGAATTGTTTCTCACTCACACTTTGAAGTATATTTAGCAGTGATTATGAATTGACCTGTTTGCATAGGGTATTTCTGAATTGACCATGTTGTCATGACTAACAGTAACAGTGAATGTTGCACACGGAGCACTATGGAATAACTGGATTTACTTGATTCTTTTCAGTGTTGTCACGATTAAAACTTATAGCCAACAGTGCTGTCTGAGTGTTGTTGTCCTCAATATTTCTTGTTACATCTACACAATATTACTAGATTATTCCATATATATATAATATTAGATTATTGTTTAAATATTTTTTATTTTTTTGCTGTGATAGTCACTATTTTGGTGTAAAATGTAWACATCCAGCTTCATTCAACATGAACAGAACTCAAAGATTTATATAATTTGTAAGCTAAATTGTATTTTTTGTACACATATCTATTTTTATTCAATTTAAAAGACAACTTGAAGTCAAACACTGCCACACCATTGTGGGATTATTCTAGATGTTATTTTAGTCCACTCTTTCCTAATAGGATTTAGGCTTTGTTCAGTCAGGCGGGCCTTGCATTTGGCCAACTGCAGTGGTAGCCACTGCTAGTATTAGTTTTTTGACCTAAGGGTGGGGTTTTGTGTTTTATGGCACAATTACTTGATAATAATTCAGTAATTTTCAGTGTTGTATAAAGTACTACAAAGTGATACTTGAGTAAAAGTACAAGTATCTTACCAAAAAATTACTTTGGTAAAA